TGGGTTGGACAGTGTATTGTTTCATAGCAATAACCAATTATTCATTATATTTGTAACATTCTTATGCTACTAACTATCAATGTGCACAATAGCTTCTTCTGTACACTTTATTCTTTGTAATAATAATAAAGTGCCCTCTAGTGGCAGATTTCTGAAACTACAGTTCGCCAAATGCGTAAGGAATGTTAAAATGCATCTCTTTAGTATTAACGCATAGGAAAAGACAAAAATATAAAATACTACCGGTCCATTTATATGGAAAATGAAAAAAAAACGCAACGCGCCGTCGTACATCAATGTGCCGGCGTGAAGTTTCCTGCCGCGCGTAGATAATCTCCTGCAAATCTGAAATTTCGTAAAATATTGCCCAATCGAGCCTCTCCCGTCATTAGAGCGAAAGCACGGCGGAAAAAAAAATCGGCAAAAAGGGTAATCATCGAGGCCCGAAGCCATTAATACTAACCGTCTAATGAAACGTAACATTTCATCCGCGCTGGCCTATGACGTTTAGAAAATGGCCGGTCATTACGGCGATATATTATGTTAATGCGGTCCGGTTCTGGTAAAAATCGCCGATATAACTGGCAGTCCTTAACTATTTGCTTAATTGGTTTTAATTTAGTAAGCAATAGCATATAAAATATGCATAAAACGGTCTAATAACACATGCTGTGCTCTAGAAGCCGTGACTGCCGACGCAGGGCCGGCTTTCCAACATTCTTTAACGCCTCCGTTTACACTATGGACAGGCAACATAAGAAAATATCTTTGAGGTTACTAAAATCTCATTGTAGATTATTTATTAAATTTGGCATTGCGTGGTACGTCCGCCTAAAGGAAAGATTTTGCGAATCTGAGCTGTTGTTTTGTGAAACTGAAGGGCCACGATATTCTATTTTTCACTGACACCGCCACTGAAGTGACACGGCACTAATATGTATAAATTGGCCTTAAAAAAATAAAAATAACCAGGTTTTATGGAGAGGACATCAAGCGCAAAAGCAGAAAGTTAGATCACCGACTGAAACTTGTAAGATTACTATGTACGAGGGCAGCGCCAAAATTTCCCGGCCTGAATATAAAAGAAACAAAGTAGAGTAACATTTTTTTATTATTTTTCAATATAATCCCCCTTAACTGCAATGCACTTATTACATCTGTTTATTAACAGCTCAATCCCCAAAAATATTCTTTTGGTTTGTCTGCAGAATGAGCTAAAAAAGCCTCTTTTAACTCAACTTCGTCGTTAAACCGTCGTCCACGTAAGTCCTTTTTCAAATGTCCAAACAAATAATAGTCGCTGGGGGCCGTATCTGGACTATAGGGAGGATGATCTATCTGTTGGAATCCACAGTCTAAAATAGAAGCTTGTGCAACACCAGCAGTATGGACAGGTGCATTATCGTGCAAAAAATGCACGCCTCTGGCCTTTTACACGTACACAATAATGTTGCGTAATATGCACCATTGACAGTTGTATTAGTTTCTTTAAAATCTATCAAAAGAATTCCTTCACAATCCCAAAAGATCGTGACCATCACCTTTTTTGTTGACTGGCACGACGCCACTCCATTGATTCTTTTTTCGATAGAGGGTCCTTAAGTTTTTTACAACATTACTGGCGTGATGGTCCCACCTCAGATACCGATCAATCCACACCCCCAAGTATTTGATTTTGTCTGTCGATCTGATCTCTGCCTTTTCCGTGTTACCGACGATAAGTGTATCAAAATCTGGGTCTGTTTTGCTGGTACAACTAAATATGACTGATTGCGTTTTTTGATAATTAATTGTCAATAGTTTATGATGGAAGCAATCACTTATATCTTTTAATGTTTCTTCTGCAATTAATTTAAGCTCCTTCCAGTCATCTGCTGCAAGATATATTACGGTATCTTCTGCAAAACTTAGGACATATCCAAGAAATTCCTTTAGGAGTATACTATTTAAGTAAATTATAAATAAGAGTGGGCTCAAAACTGTCCCTTGCGGGACACCAAATGTAACAGGCTCTGGAGTGCTTGGTTCATCTTCAGTCAAGACGTGTTGTTTTCTCCCAGTTAAGTAACATTTAAAAAGATCAAGAGATATATATTTTACGCCAATATCTTTCAAAGCTTCAAACATCTGTGCGAAGGTTTACTTTCGTCCAGACTCTCATAAACTAAAAGCAATTTTCTGATTTGGGGTAAATCTAGCCTGTAACAAAGGTGAGGAGATTTGGTTCCAGATTGTCGGATTTTAATATATCTGAAATGATGTTGAGAGTCCCAGGAATAGGGACTTCAGTGAAAAGGGATTCTACGTCGAAACAAACCAGAACATCTTGTGTATCTAATGTAATGCTTTTTAATTGTTCAATTCAATTCTACTCTATTCTATTCGCGACGATTAAATACCACAATAATACCGTGCGGTACGGTTTTCGAAGCCACGGGCTCTCCTATCGATCGAGATTTCAGATTCCTTTACGAATACGGCCACGCGTGTAACGCACATGTGTTCCGTACGCCCACGGATTTCGCCGGGTCCGAACAACGTATTTAATACGTTTATTAATTCCTTTAAGGTCGGTAGCATTGTTTCCACGGGCCATCTGCAACCGAACGCAGTCGGAAAAATGGCCGCGCCGCAGGAACGCCAGGAATGTAGAGCAAACGCCATCAGATAAAATAAGTTAGATATCTCTGCCTCTTTGGTGCACGCGGAAGAACAAAGCGCAGTATGCCACAGACCGACTGCGGAGCCGCGGGATATTTAGTCTATTGTCTACTATACGGGGTGTTCGCCCGTACTCGTTGATGATTGAAATTTTTCTGAAAATCGAGTTTCTCGTTCCCTGATCATTCTTTGCCATTTTACGCACATAATCATCCGTCTAGGCGTTAATTTTAGTTGGCTATTGTCATGCCTATATATATTCATAAGTGTTACGAGGGCAGCGCCAAAATTTCCCGTCCTGAATATGAAAGAAACAAAGTAGAGTAACAATTTTTTATTATTTTGCAACATAATCCCTCTTAACTTCAATACACTTGTTACATCTCTTTATTAACAACTCAATCCCTTTAAAAAAATAACTTTTTTTTAACTCAACTTCAACGTTAAACCGCCGTCCACGTAAGTCCTTTTTCAAATATCCAAACAAATAATAGTCGCTCGGGGACATATCTGGACTATAGGGAGGATGATCCATCTGTTGTTGCATTATCGTGCAAAAGACGCACGCCTCTGGTCAGTTTTCCTCGACGTTTTACACGTATGCAGTCTCGCAATTTATGTAACAATGTTGCATAATATTTACCATTGACAGTGGTATTAGTTTCTTTAAAATCTATCAAAAGAATTCCTTCACCATGCCAAAAGATCCTGGCCATCACCTTTTTTGTTGACTGGCAGAGTCTGAATTTTCTTGGAGGTGCTTCACTCTTACGACGTCACTCCATTGATTCTTTTTTCGATAGAGGGTCATAATAGAGAACCATAGTTTCATCCCGACACGGCGTTGTTTTTGAATAGCCGAAGGGTTTTTAGGAACCTATCTTGCACTAACCTTATGCATTCCTAAATGATCATGCAGGATTCGACGAGCATTTATATCAGAAAGCTTAGTAATCAATACCACCTCTTCCACAATCGCAACAATATCTTCCGTTATGACCTCCACTGGTCGACCAGTTCTTGAATCATCTTGAAGGGACTCCTGCCCATTCTTTCACTACAGAATACGAAGGAGAACTTTGGCCGTACACACCATCCAACCTTTATGACTACTCTTTACTCAATTTGCGTTATTTGCGACATTTTTTCCGACACGTCTTGTTTAAAATGCTGTCAATAAAAACCTATTTGACGCAAGACTTCAATTTTTTTTTCGCGGCCTACCAAGATATATATGATACTGGAGCTGCATCTATGTCAGGCTGGGAAATTTTGGCGCTAACCTCGTACATAGCGCCTAATTTTCAGGAGAAAAATTTTGCTACTACGCTTCCTGATATTTTACTGGCTCACTATTACTATTTTACACCTTTTGGGACGTTCTTGTGTATGAAAACCCCATTCAATACTTTTAATTTATATTGACCATATTGATATTGATATATTGATATTTCAATAAGTCTTAGGCCGTATGTCATTTACTGTTGCTTCTCCATACCTTCTAATGTTCAAATTTTACTTCCTACACGACCATTAAAGTCGCCCATAATTCGTCGCCCTACATTATTTAAGAGGAACGTAAAATTTTCAAAAAGATCCACTTTTTCTAACACGCTGGGTTCAACAAACGAAGCGGCTGAAATCAATAATTGAGTTTATCGTAGTAAATCAAAAATTCGCAATTAAATGGTATGATGTGAAAGTTAAAATAGGATCAGTACGCGATTCAGACAATTTCCTGGTAACTGGCGCACTTTTAGTAAGGCACAAGTATCTTGGAGTTAACTCAAAACTAGAAAAAAAAATTCACGTCACGATCCAATATACCATATAGAAAGCTTAACAGAAAACGAGTCCGCGGTGTTCATGTATAAGTTACGACCGGCGGAACAATTTAAAGCTATAGAAGAACAAAATATAGAAAACAAATATCACAAATTCGCAAAGTTCATCCGTGAGGCGGCGAAAGAAGCGTTAGGTCAGAAGCAAAGAAATTGCAAAAGCAGAAACGACGATTCCTGGTGGTCAACGGAATTAGAAGAACTAATTGAGATAAAGAAAGGAGCCTATTTAAAATTTTTGACCACAAAGGACTACCAAGAAAAAGTATATTACACCAGAATGAAGTACGAAGTGAAGCAAAAAGTAAAGAAAGCCAAATGTCAGTCGTGGGAAGATAAATGCAATATTGACAGAAGCATTGGAAGCCCCAAATCAAGACAGACTTGGAAAACTCTGAAGACCAACAAAAAAAATAAACCCTATGCATCTCAATTCTCAATTAAGACTATTATTTATTCAAGCTGTCTTTTACTTTTGACAGTTGTCTTCCTTGCTACTGCTCTAACCTTTTTTACGCTAAATGGTATGCTGTTGCAGCATAGTTTTCCAATCTGCTAAGTGCTTGCTTTTTGAGCTTAAGGGAGTGCGTTAGAATAGCTGTCACTTTGACACTTCAACGCGTCGCTATCTGGTACATCGCCGATGAATTCCTCAGAAGAAGAGGTACCGAAAACTATAAACTTAGATTTCGGTATCCAGCGGAAGTTCAGCTTCCTGCCCGAAGACTGGGCCAAGGAAAGCTTCGAAAATGATCACAAGGTAAAAACACTGGGACTCTATGAGAAAAAACTAGCAACAGCCCCCGTAGTTTATCCATCACCAAGACGAAACCACCTACACGTATTCAGCTGTTCCTAGCAGAGGTGTGGAGAAGCCTATCACCAGGTTCTGTACAGGCAGCAAGTACCTGGGAGAATGGAACGAAATCGGCGTAGCAGGAAAGGGTAACCCATTAGATTACATTAAAGAATAGTTCCTATATTAGCACCTTCAAACAGATTTTTTCATTCCGAGCGTCTTTAGATGAGTTTCTTGACCGGCCACCACTTCTCGTTCCTAAATAAACACTGTCGGTTTGACTAATTTTGTACGCTACATCTGATAAAACGGATTCCTTCATATGAAGAAATTTGACATGAAAATGCAGATATTGAAACGAGCATAATGCATAAAGGTTTTGATCCAATACAAAAAAACTCCCATTTCCTTTGACCTAACATATAGTTTTGACACCATATAATAATAATAATAATAATATTAATTTATTGACGTTAACAACCCTACGGTTTTACGCAAGTCAGCAAAACGTTGAGCAAAATCTACATACGAGGTTAGCGCCAAAATTTCCCAGCCTAACATAGATGCAGCTCCAGTATCACGATAAATCTTTATCTTCTTTTAAATATATATCTTAGTAGGCCGCGAAAAAAAAATTTAAGTCTTGCGTCAAATAGGTTTTTATTGACAGCATCTTAAACAAGACGTGTCCGAAAAAATGTCGCAAATAACGCAAATTGAGTAAAGAGTAGTCATAAAGGTTGGATGGTGTGTACGGCCAAAGTTCTCCTTCGTATTCTGTAGTGAAAGAATGGGCAGGAGTCCCTTCAAGATGATTCAAGAACTGGTCGACCAGTGGAGGTCATAACGGAAGATATTGTTGCGATTGTGGAAGAGGTGGTATTGATTACTAAGCTTTCTGATATAAATGCTCGTCGAATCCTGCATGATCATTTAGGAATGCATAAGGTTAGTGCAAGATAGGTTGGATGGTGTGTACGGCCAAAGTTCTCCTTCGTATTCTGTAGTGAAAGAATGGGCAAAACGTTTTCGAATGGGGCAGGAGTCCCTTCAACATGATTCAAGAACTGGTCGACCAGTGGGGGTCATAACGGAAAATATTGTTGCGATTGTGGAAGAGGTGGTATTGAGTGATCGACGTTTAAAGGTCAAGGAAATCTCAAAAATTACTAAGCTTTCTGATACAAGTATTCGTCGAGTCCTGCTTGATCATTAGTGCAAGATGCGTTCCTAAAAACCTTTCGGCTATTTAAAAACAACGCCGTGTCGAGTGTGCGCGGTATTTTTTTTGAACTCTGTGGGTCGGAACCGAAGCCTGTGATAGAAACTATTGTAACGGGAGATGAAACTATAGTTCTCTATTATGACCCTCTATCGAAAAAAAATCAATGGAGTGGCGTCGTGAGGGTGAAGCACCTCCAAGAAAATTCATAGTCTGCCAGTCAACAAAAAGTGATGGCCACGATCTTTTGGGATTGTTTGATAGATTTTATAGAAACTAATACCACTATCAATGGTAAATATTACGCAACATTATACGTGTGAAGCGTCGAGGAAAACTGACCAGAGGCGTGCGTCTTTTGCACGATAATGCATCTGTCCATGCTGCTGGTGTGGTGATAGATCATCCTCCCTATAGTCGAGATATCGCTCCCAGCGACTATTATTGGATATTTGAAAAAGGCCTTACGTGGACGGCGGTTTAACGACGAAGTGGAGTTAAAAGAGTTATTGTTATTATAGTATTGAAGTTAAAGGTGATTATATTGACAAATAACAACAAAATGTTACTCTATTTTGTTTCTTTCATATTTAGGAAGGTAAATGTTGGCGCTGCCCTCGTATTTTGTGCCCTATAACATGCTGGTTGTACAGATCCTGTATTTGCCTCGTTTATAAAAACCTAATAATAAATTAGTCGGTCGATACATTAAAAAATTTGCATTCTACCTATATCAGTGATGTTTTAAATCTTTCTTTGTCTAATTTAGTGCATGTGACTCTGGTTTAACCAGTGCATAATTGAATTTGATACCTACCAGCTATGCCCATATTAATAATGATCGTGACAATTACTTTTATTGTATTTTTAATTGCGTCAACGCTAATTTAGAGAATTATGATTTTGCCTAATTCTTTTTTAATCAAGGTATTTACTTACCTTTAAATGTTTTCACCATATCACCTAAACCTTTGTATCAGCCCTAAATATACATACCAAACAACCAAACCACAATATAATTGAATCTAGAACTGGGATTTTCGACCAAGAATATAACCACGAAAGTTTATACAGACAAAGTCAATGAGATTATCTCAAAAGCATTTGTGAACGAAAGACTTTTTTTTTAAACAATTTTCATCACCGATTGCATGACATCGCACTTCAATCAACACACCTTCAAAGCTTCGCTTTTCAAAAAATCTTTCCCTTCATCTATACATATGAGAGTGTCCACTCATATGAGGTTTATGATCAGGGATCTATAAGTTCGCTCATGGCGTCATCTACGACGGCACCTTCAACGCGGAAGGGGAATTTCACGGCATGGGCACCCTCGTCTACCCCAACGGTCAGAGGGTCGAAGGTATCTGGAAAAATGGAAAACTCGCCCCGGATCACAGTTGTGTCATCGAGGGAGGCGTGTTCATGACAGATCAGTATTGCAAAATACCGGATAGGAGATTCCACGTGGAGGTGAAAGACGGTTTCGGGCCTCCCGGACGGGAGTTCCTCACCAACGAACCTCCTCCGTCTAGGCCGATACCCGAGGGGTGTTACGACACAGGTGGGGGTTACTACGACCCCAAACTGAGGTCTATCGTCGCGTACAAGCGTCGGGAGTCCGTGGGGCCCAGTTTGGAGGAGTTGATCGCGGAAAGGGAGACCAAATGGCGCTCCGCGTTTTCCAAAGTAACTAACACCTTGCCACTAATTTTGTATAGCGCATGTCAAAGTATAGCATCGTCGGTGTCGGCTGAAATCAGAGTTACGCTCGTCCTGTAACCTGTTCACAACTTTGAGGTTGGCCGGGTTGATGTTAAAAAATGTGGGACTTTGATAAAAAACCAATGTTACTGGGTCTGGGATTATTTTTGTATCATATCTTGTAACGCAGGCCAACAAAAGTTTTGTAATTTTGTATTTTTCATATTTTTGGAGTTGGAGTATTTGAGGACATCCATATATGTGGCTGTATTTTATGGCGAACGCTTTTTTTGTTTTTTTTTAAGATGATCAATCAATAAGTTAACTCCAGAAATGCAATTATCACATCACCTCAAATTTATGGCCACCTAGCTCCCCGGATCTTAATGCCCTTGATGCTATAGCAACCACAATAATCAACATGGAGAAAGAGCATTTAATTTACGATCTCGGATTTAGTCCGTAATTGCTGCTAATAAGGATTTTATTGGAAAATTACATAGTCTAAAAGTCGATTAAAGCTATTTAAAAATTTCATGGAATTATAATATTTATAATATATAATAATAATAATAATAATAATAATAAAGGTCTTTATTTCAATTATATACAATATAACAATAACAAGATAACATTTTGGCAAAAAGAAGAGATTCAGTCTACTAAAGATAAGTATACTGTTCTATCTAACCCGATAAAAGAGAGAAAAAAAAGTACGTGAATTTCCATTTTATAAGTTGTAATTTAAACAAAAAACAAATGATTGGTGTTCCCGCGAAAATCAAACACAAAGTAAAAATAATTATCGCACACAGTGACCAAGAAATTTTCCCTGAGGTACACCGTAATTCACATAGAGTCAGAGACGTATTCGAATCTTAAGGTATGGTCTGTTCATAGATATAAGAAAGTGACCCATTGCCTTTGCATGGGATTATCCAAGGGTGGTCATTAACATAAAATGCAACAAGATTATTACATAAAGTTTCGGAATTTAAGTTCAGGTAAAATTGAAAATAATTTTATATCTACCTGTGTTTAATATTATTTGGTTCGATATACTACTTAGTTTGAGTTTATTAGTAATCGTTCTTATTTCGTGTGTAATATAGCGTGTTGAATCGTGTGCAGAAAACACTATTCTATTGAGACTAAGGAAGTTATAAACAATGTTTATTTGACTCTCATTGAACGTGAACATTGACGAAAATTCCAACATCAACTGTATGGAAAATTGTGAGTAATCCCATTTCAGCGAGGAAAAAAAGAAGCGATGCTGACATTTTCTCGAGTGTGATGTAAAATTTACAGTTATACGAGAAGCTTAAGGGTTCCGCGGCGAAATCCATACTTAAACAGCTTCTGTTTAAGAAGATCGTGCGAGATACAGTCGAAGGCCTTGCTAAGGTCACATATTGTTAACCCCACCCGATTTCCAGTTTCAAGACCCACCACCACATCCCTCACAACCTTACTTATCCCTTGTTTGGGAATCAGTCATCCGACCCTCTGAAGAGCTCTGAAGAAGCCAACAGGCTGATTGGCGAAACACATTTCAAAGATCTGCAAACTACTTAATTCCAATTACAAATCACGTTTTTTTTCTTTCCTTTGTATACAAAAGGCTAAGTTTAAGTGCGCCCTTTTTAATGTGTCACGATAAAATCGTTAAGCTCCTTGCATATTGGATAGTAAAGACCCAATAATAATTATAATGTCCACAGATGATGAGCGAGTCGATAACAGAAGCCGTCTTCAGAGAGGTGATGAAGGGCAAAATGGCGGAGGATGGTGGTGAAGTGGTCGGCATACCTTCGCCACGCCTCGAGGCCTGGATAGTGGAACATTGCAGGAAAGGTTGGGACGAAAACGTCGGATATAAACCGGAGTTGTACGAGGAATGGACGACCGGCGCCAAGCCAAAACAATGAACACAACATATGAATAATATTCCAAAGGAAAATGCAAAATTCCATGATGTATTATTTGAAATAAATGAAAAATTTATGTTTCCCGTTATGTCATCATTTTTGTTTTAAATTGTTGTAATGTTGTACTAATAAAAAAAATTTGAATAACACAGGGCCATTTATTTTATTGTTCCGCCTATTTTCGTTTTGAGAGATAAAAAATAAAATTGTTGGTTATTTTCCAAACAACCCTTTATTTGAAAAAGGAAAGTAAAAAAAAGGTCGCTACCGGAGCAAAATAATAATAGCAAAAAGCTATTTAATGGGACACAAACAATATTAAAAAATATATATGTATGTACGAGGGCAGCGCCAAAATTTCCCGGCCTGAATATGAAATAAACAAAGTAGAGTAACAATTTTTTATTATTTTTCAATATAATCCCCCTTAACTTCAATACTCTCATTACATCTCAATCCCTTTAAAAAAATATTCTTTTGGTTTGTCTGCAAAATGAGTTAAAACAGCCCCTTTTAACTCAACTTCGTCCTTAAACCGCCGTCCACGTAAGTCCTTTTTCAAATATCCAAACAAATAATAGTTCCTGGGGGCCATATCTGGACTATAGGGAGGATGATCTATCTGTTGGAACCCACACTCTAAAATGGCAGCTTGTGCAACACCAGCAATATGGACAGGTGCATTATCGTGTAAAAGACGCACGCCTCTGGTCAGTTTTCCTCGACGTTTTACACGTATGCGGTCTCGCAATTTATGTAATAATATTGCGCAATATTTACCATTGACAGTGGTATTAGTTTCCTTAAAATCTATCAAAGGAATTCCTTCACAATCCCAAAAGATCGTGGCCATCACCTTTTTTGTTGACTGGCAGACTCTGAATTTTCTTGGAGATGCTTCATCTTCCGTCACAATAGTTTCTATCACAGGCTTCAGTTCCGACCCACAGAGTTTCAACCTTATGCATACCTAAATGGTCATGCAGGATTCGACGAACACTTGTATCAGAAAGCTTAATAATTTCTGAGACTTCCTTGACCTTTAAACGTCGATCACTCCATACCACCTCTTCCACAATGGCAACAGCTGTAAATGGGTCCGAAAATAGAATTGTATGTTCAACATAAATTTCAAAACAAGAAGTGACATATCAAAGAGACTGTTTGTATAAATGATGATACATGGCGTGCCTACAAAACAGAGAGAAGTCGCATTGTAAGCTGCATTAAATCAGAAAAAGACAGATATTTTAAAGACATTGTTGAGAGAAATAAAAAAAAACGCTAAACAAATAGGGAAAAATTTAAAAGCGAACTGTTTCATTTAAGCAAGTCATAGCTAATAAATTTAATAGGTATTTTATAGACAGTGACTGTGACTGATATCACTGATAATATACCAACATATGGAGAAAGAGATCAGTTTAATACCTTAACTATGCAGGACCTAAAAAAAATAATAAGAGAATTAAAAAATGTGACTTGTGATGAGTGTGCATATCTGATTGCATAACTGTAGAACATGGTGTCCCTCAGGGGACAGTTTTGGGACCATCTTGTTTCTTATGTATATAAACGATATTGTAAATATCTTAGATGAAACTAAAGCCGTATTATTTGCGGATGATACTATGATTTTTATAATAAACCCTTAATAAATTTAAAAGACTTTTAAGACGCCATGTATTGGCCAAATTCTGATTTCTGTGTGCTTAGCTTTTGGTTAACGTTTATCTGGAATTTTATATTTTATATTTTTAATTTACATTTTGCATTTCTTACGTAGCATATTGCTGAATAAAGATTATATTATTAGATTTAAGTTAAATCTGCGATATCCATCTGGCTTAGTCTTTACTCAATTTGAAATATTTCACATAAAAAATGTATATTATAAATCATCCCTTTTGTTCTTAATATAACTTACTGGTTAATTCAAAAATTCACGAGTGTAAGACACTTGGGGAAAATTTAACTTTACAAAAAATGCACTTACCTGTTGTACAAAAAAATTAAAATAAATAAGTTCAGATTTTCACGAAATTATATATTTTGACATGACAATTGTTTCGACCACATTGCAGTTAAACTCTCAACAAAATTAGTAAATATTTTAAAGATCCACACAGATTTTAAACCAAAATTTGCAATAAAAAATTCTTTTGATGTACAAAACTTAATTCCCAGTATTCCACCTATGGATGTGAAAGATTTAGTAGATTTCACCCCCACAGTTTAACCCATTGGTGGAACAAGATTTATTAGATTGCTTAATAGAATCTTTAGACCAAAATTATTTTGAATTTAATGGCCAGCTTTACATATCTAAGGAAGGTTTGATTATGGGAAACCCACTTAGTCCTTTGTTAGCCGAGATCCTTTAAGTAAAAGTTTTCTATGGTGGTATAGATAAGTGGATGATGTCTTTGCTTGTTTTGTTGGAACGGACAGATAATTGAATTCTTTTTTAAATTACATTAACTCATTACATAATCGTATAAAATTCACTATCGAGATTGAACAGGATAACTCTATTATTTTTTTAGACTTAACTATTACGAAAACTCAAAACAAATTACACAGTCATACAAAATAGCTCAAATGACCCTTACGCACACAAAATGGCTGCATTTCACCCTTTTATACACAGACTTCTTAATACGCCACTCTCAACAGTAAATTACAGCAAAGAATTTAATATTATTAAACAAATTGAACTGAACAACGGCTACAATACGTCCATTATAGATAAAATTATAAATAAAAAACAAATCCAGACAACAGTAAACTCAATTTATCCGAAACCTAATACAGAACACGAACAATTTCAAACAATTACATACATAGGAGAACCTAATGAAAAAGTTTCAAAACATGTGTCAAAATGTGGTTTAAAAATAGCTTTCTGAACTAACAACACTATAGGAAAATTTAAAAAAAACAGTAAAACGAAATGTCCAAAATCTCAAAAATCAGGTGTCTGCAGGTTGAAATGCGGATCTTGTCCTAAAATTTATATTGGACAAACAGGTAGATCCTTCAAGAAACGCATTAACGAACATAAAATAGCGTTTAAAAACAATAGTCTAGATTCTAATTATGCTACACACTTAAACACAGAAAAACAAATTTTTGACGACAATTTTGATATTTTAAATACAGCCACAAAAAGTAGAAAACTAAATTTATTGGAAGCCATGGAGATTAACAAAATGAGACATTCAAATGTATTGCTTAACGATCAATTAGATTTAAATACCTCTCCTTTAGTAGGAGGTAGTTTGTAAATATGGATTTTCATCAAATAAAAGCCACCTCAGTTCGACAAAAAAATTATCTTTATACTGGTCAAAAAATTTATAACGCACTACCTCAAGAACTGAAAAATAAAATTAAATTAAAATCATTTAAAAAAAAACTAACTGGCTTGTTGATGCTAAAGTGTAACTTAAGTTTCTAAGTGGATATTTATTATTAGTCAAATTCGCAGATTCATTAATGTATTTTTGTTTGGTAGAATGTTATGTTTTTTTTTCATATTATATAATATATGGAAAATATAATTAAATTAATTTGTGTTATGTTTCAGGAAGGCTGTCAAGTTTTTAACTTTGTATACCTTGAATATAAGTGCTTTTTTTGTATTAATATTTATTTAATGTCTACATTACAATAAGTTGTAAAATTGTACATTTTTATTGATTTAAATTAATATTATTATTATTATTAAAGAATTTTAATAAAAAATATTATTAGAAAGAACACTATTTTACGTAGATGACGCCTAAGTTCTTGACGGTACTTAAAAAGGTGACTGATCTAAGTTGGAGAGGGAGTTTATTGTATTGCTGCTTCTACATAAAGGTGAAAACATTTTGACTAGTTCTATGGCAGCCAGCAGAGAATATAAAAACTAAATCTTTTCAAAATATTAACAGGACAGATATATGTCCGCATTACGTTTGAGATTAATGGACAATGTGTTTCAAGAATGATGTTAGGTGGAAAAACTCCATAAACACTTAACCAGTTTAAAATTTCTGAAAATTTTTTTCCGTGCTTAGTTAAAAAGAAAGTCAAACATTTAGTGAGAAACATGACTTCTGCACCAATATGCGATTCGGATTCGATTTTTTTGTATCAACTCCGCACCCACGACATTCCCACGTGTCAGCGATAGATAAATATATGAAACTATCACGTGCCAACGTATGAAACGGCTTTTATGGCTACAAGAAGCCACGCTGAGCGACAAATGTCTTTTTATCTGATCCGTCTCGCGTAACTGGAGGAAATGGCACTGCCTACGTACGTCTGTTAGAATCTAAGAAAAAAAACCGTATAAGCGTTTGTGTACAGTCGGAAGGCGTGATGCGTATCCATCTCTGTCAGTATAGGGCAACTCAGACCTTAAACAAATATTATATTGGTTATAGAAGTTAAACTTTACTCTTGGAGAATAGAAACGGCATCACTAGCGCCATCTAGTGCCACGCAGGAAAGTAATAGCGAAGTTGAGAACGAAACTCCTCGTTATTTTCGAAAAATCGATGATATCGTTTATGGTTTAAATTTTGGTGAAATGTTATTTTTTCTTATATAAGCTTCGAACACAAACCAAATCATCTCAATCGGGTTAAATATACAATGATACGGGGATTAATCTCAAGATTTCACGTCCGTTTTGTTGTATCTTTGTATTTTTAAGAATTCCAGAAGTTGTTTTTCCGTGCAGCTGCTCTCTTCAAAATATAAAGCATTTTTCAAAAACTGTTTGCGAAACCAAAAAAATTCTTGAAACCAGAGGACGCAGAAGATACGGCTCTATGAAATTTTATTCTCGAGAATTTTTAAAAAATATACAGGGTCGCCGCAAATTGGAAAAGACTGCAAAATGGGTCCCCCTTTTATTGAAAATTGGTTATAACTGAAAGACTATGATTCAAATCTCACTTTCTTTTGTATTGCGATATAGCCTGCATAGACAGCAAAAACTTTTGTATTTAAGGTTTTCACCTAT